GTGCGAGCGCGAATGTCATCCACTTTACAGGGATCACTAGAACTGCACTGTAGAAGTCCTCCTAGTATCGAAATGTCTCTATTTCTTTGGTTGTGGTTCTCTGCCTTCTGTTCCTGTACTAGGCTGTAATGCATGACCATGTTTATTATTTTCCTCTTGATTTTGATTGTTTCTTTGTTTTGGAACATTGAACAGCAAACTCCAATGTATCTTTGTGTAGACATGTCCTGCTGTACTGACGTGTTGTAGCATACACATCTACCCATTGGATGCTGCTTCTGTTATGTTAACTTTATGGAGCATGGTTGGGCCTTGCCTTCGCTCTTTATTTGCATGGAATTATTATTATTATTATGATCACACAATTCCACTCATACTAATATTTTCCAATAAAGACTGTAGATTTTCCCCTAACCCTCAGTGTGCTCTCTGCTGATTTCCATGCGTCGTTCCCTCAAACCCCTCCCTCGAGTCATCACTCAGCTCCTCCCACTTGCCAGAGTGAATCATGGGAAATGTGCACTCACAAATATGGAGACAGTAGCCTCTTCAAGTCTCACACATCCCATCTGCATCTCACTATCTGACCTCCTGCATTAGTGTATCTCCGCTTCGTTCTCATTGTTTTGTCTGGAGTGAAAATCAATGCGTAAAGTCAACTTGAAGTCAGAAATTATTGAATTTACGTCCTTAATATGCATCATTTTGTTGGAATTCAGAATCCATCTCCTCTCCAATCATTTTGGTCAACTTTTGACACAAAAACAAATCCTGTGTTTTGTTTTTTTGTATTGAATGTCCATATGTTGCATTTGGAAATGCATTACCGTTCAAAAGTTTGGGGTCAGTAACTTTTTTTTTTTTTAATAAATTAATACTTTTATTCAGCAATAATGCATTCACTTGATCAAAAGTGATGGTAAAGAAATTTTTAGAAGATTTTTATTTCAAATAAATGCTGTTCTTTTAAACTTATATTCATCAAAGAATTTTGTTTTCAGAAAAATATTGAGCAGCACAACTGTTTTCAACATTGATAATAATAATCAGAAATGTTTCTTGAGCAGCAAATCAGCATATTAGAATGATTTCTGAAGATCATGTGACACTGAAGACTGGAGTAATGATGCTGAAAATAAAACTTTGCATCACAGAAAATGTTTAAATTAAATAGTAAAATTTATTCAAATAGAAAACAGTTATTTGAAACTAATAAAATTTCACTATTTTTAGTTTTTTTTTTTCCAAAAAAATGCAAGCTTGGTGAGCAGAAGAGACTTTGTTCAAAAACCATTTAAAAAAAAATCTTACCAAACTTAAACTTTTGAACAGTTGAGTACATCAGATTATGAAATTAAAATGGTCGAATGGCTTTTCATGTTGATGTTATGGTACCTGAGGTTTAATATGATTTTCTAATTCTAGGTTTAATATAATGGCTAAAGTTTATTCATACACATTATTGATGGTTCAAATGGATGACCATCATAAACTTGTATAGAGTCTCTCAACACAGAAAATCGATCTGTTCAGATACATGGTATTAATTATTTAAAAAGCTTATGGTTCTAGAGCCTGCAGGGAAAACTGGTCTGAATAAAGGTAGATTAGTAATTAGTCAAAAGGATCATAGATCGTGTTAAGGGCAGGAAAAACCCATCTGAATGAGGTTTAATCTCAGCAGAACTCTTTCATTAAGCTCTGCTGCTTGACCTTCAGGTGATGACCTTTATTTCTAATGATGGAGGTCAGACCGTTTTCAGTCCATAAATGTCATAATCTCAGATAGAAGAGTTAATGATTTACTAGAGACTCACAATGTGCAATATACTGGACGACGAGTGCATCGCACTATTATTCACGGATCAATATTTTTGCCCGGGTTTGTGAGGGAAGCAGAGGAACAGGATCATTCGAATTCAGAGCACGTGAACTGCATGCTCCATACGTTTCTGCTGATCTAAGAGTTTTGCTTGAATTTCTGGAGCCCTGGGGAATATTTCCCGCTGAGAAAATCGCCGGTTTCTCCTCTGTTCTGTTCTCCAAAGGCGCCATGAAATGAGACAATAGTGATTCCATATCAACAGTTTCTGCACTTTTGCACTTCCTTTTCCCCGGGGCCAGAGACTTCGGAGCATTTAAAAATCTTTCTCATGACCTTTTATAACACGATTTTGTCCTCATATTCACCTCAGGAAAAAAAAAATGCCATTCAAAACCAACAGTTTCCTACAAAATACTGCTTGAAACAAGCGATGCTGAACAATCAAGGGATGATGGAGTTACAGTCACTTTCTGCATTCAAAAGATTATTTTAACATGAAATAACACACTTCAGTTTTAACATCTTTAATATACTTAACACTAAATGAGGAGTAATATTTAGCCATATACTCAATATCTTAAATATAATTTTAAAAAGGTTTTTTCGCTACTTGTCAAACATGTAGATGAACGCATTTGAGATATTGATTTGGAATGTTTTATTATGTGAGAAGAAAGAAATATGACACTGGCCAAGCTTTAAGTATGTGTATGTATTTGCAATACTGTTAAAAAAAATGTGGGGTCAAAAAGATGTATTTTTAAAGAAAATAATATTTGTATTCAGCAAGGATGCACTGAAATTCTACTTCACATAAATGCTGTTCATTTGAACTTTCTATTTATCAAAGAATCCTAAAAAAAGTACACGAATATTATCAATGATATCATCAGATGCTTAGTAAGAAATGTTTCTTGATCAGCATATTAGAATGATTTCTGAAGAATCATGTGACACTGAAGACTGGAGTAATGATGCTGAAAATACAGCTTTGATCACAGGAATAAATTACATTTTACAATATATTACAATAGAAAACGGTTCAATTAAATTGCAATAATATTTCACAATATTACTGTATTTTTGATCAAATAAATGCAACCTTGGTGAGCAGAAGAGACTTCTGAAGAAACATTTTTAAAAATCTTACAGACCTTAACCTTTTGAATTTGAACAGTAGTGTATGTATAGCCATGCAAATGTAATCTTTTTTTTTTTTTCATATCATTGCAGTTTTACAGTTTATCTGACTGCAAAACTCTGCAAGTATTCCAAAGATCTGTTTAATAACATTTTATAAAGGTTTTATGGCATCACTGAAGCAGGATTATGTTAGGAAGTAACTAATTTTTAAACTGTGTGTGTGTGTGTGAGACAAAATATCCCCAAAAGGACAGTAATACCCAAAATTTTTCATCTTGTGTGGACATTTTTTTTTTTTATAAATGCAACCTTGGTGAGCAGAAGAGACTTCTGAAGAAACATTTTTAAAAATCTTACAGACCTTAACCTTTTGAATTTGAACAGTAGTGTATGTATAGCCATGCAAATGTAATCTTTTTTTTTTTTTCATATCATTGCAGTTTTACAGTTTATCTGACTGCAAAACTCTGCAAGTATTCCAAAGATCTGTTTAATAACATTTTATAAAGGTTTTATGGCATCACTGAAGCAGGATTATGTTAGGAAGTAACTAATTTTTAAACTGTGTGTGTGTGTGTGAGACAAAATATCCCCAAAAGGACAGTAATACCCAAAATTTTTCATCTTGTGTGGACATTTTTTTTTTTTTTGTCCCCATGAGGGAAAACATCTTATAGATCATATTAAAAATGCGGAAAGTTTTTTGTGAGTTGTTTAGGGGTCGGTTTAGGGTTTGGAGATAGGATACACAGTTTGTACAGTATAAAAATAATTGTCTATGGAAAGTCCCCATAAAACATGGAATCCCATCGTGTGTGTGAGAGAGAGAGAGAGAGCTGGACAGCTGAATGGCTAAAATAGAGTTTTGAGGAGCAGCTGTCAAACAGTCCCTCCCTCCCCCTCCAATTCTCTCTCCTTC